CAACCCACACTCAATAGACACACGATGGCATTACTGGCCTGGTATTAAATCAGGGCAGGGTTTGGGCACTGGGACCAAGGGCTCCTAAGGAAATGTGAACTCATGAAAATGACACCAGGAGGAACAGATTGACCCATGCTAAATTCCAGTTCCATCTTTTGCCTGCTCTATGACATTAGGCATTTCTTCCTCCAGGAAATAAACATAAGAACACCTACTTGTTGGACTGAGTTCTGCCAGGGTCTGGGGCCATCTTCATGCTCAATAAATGTACCTCCTTGAAGAGGATGACAGTGTCTTGGTCATGTGACTCATGGTGAGGGCAGGGAGAGGGGTGCTCAGTAAATGTTTGTAGAATAAATGGGCAGCACATTCTGGCCAGGGTGAACAGTCCTCTCCACCTGCCAGTGAAGGTCACCGTCCCACCGGGGCCACGGCACACACAGACAGGAATCCCGTTGGTACAGGCTGAGATGACCCGGCTGAGATGTCTAAGTTGCTAGGATGTGGCCACCCTCTTAAAATGGCAGTCTATTATTTTACAGCAACCAGAAAAATTACACTGTTTAAAGAATGTTTAAAATATTCATAAGCAAAGATAAGGAAACTAATAATAGCTGGCAATTCTTGAGCGCTTAACTGTGTCTGTGCCAGATGTTGGCCCATTCACTGAACATTAGTCCCCATGACAATCCTATAAAGTTAATATCTTTTATCAGGCCCATTTTGCAAATGAGGAAGACGAGGCATAGAGAGCAGGACCACTTGCCTCTGTCACACAGCTCCTAAGTGGCAGAGATAGGATTCAAACTCAGAACGTTTGACTCCAAAGCCCGCATCATAATACCAAATTGTGCGGCATTTTCTGGAATGCCTACTATTTCAACTTCCCTCCAGGGAAAGTTTTAGAGAGTCTGGTCACTCTGAACTGCTGAGTGTCCACTGCCCAGGTGGACAAAGGGAACCATGCTCCTGATTTGGTGGGGTTGGAGGATGGGGTGTCCAGATAAGCAGAAAGCCCCCTGGCCAGTGGTCCCTGAGGCTAGAGAGCCAGCTGGTGCTCAGGGTTAGTTCATTCTCTCTGCCTGTGGTTTGGGTAGGAAAATGTCCTCATTTCACAACCTCCATATTTTGTGTCCAAGTGGGAGGGGACAGGCCAAACCTACAGCCAGGAAGGGGGGAGTAGAGGACTGAGAAAACAAGCCTTTGCTAATTTTAATATGAGACTCAATTCAGTCTAGACCAGATCCTTCTGTCTCTCTCTTTTTTTTTTAATAGTCATACTTCCTCCCCACAGCCATTTCTCATTCTTTTCAACTTATTTCTTAAACCACTGAGCCTGTTTGCTCACCTATAAAATGAGATGTTTCCTGCACCCTCAGGTTATAGCCTTTGAGGAACCTGGTTTTTTTCTAATAATTGGCTTACTGGCAGGTGTGTGGGTATGTGGGGGAGGGGAGGCATAACACAAAGTGGAAAAGACAAAGAGGTTTGAGAGCTGGAAAGGACTGTCAAATTTTCATTACAAGCTCCCTCTCCCCACTTCTACTAATTTCCAGGAACAGGGCTCCTGTAGCCAACTCACCCGGCCCCCAGTCTACAGCGGTGCTGTGCAGGCCCATTCTCTCCCTGCGGCTTTGCCCAAATCCCTCTCCTAAGGCTCTGAAGACCAAGGAGGTGTTTCCAAATTAAAACAAGAGGGGTATGTGTGCTCTGCTTAAGAGGGACGGAGGGAAGGCCACCGCAACACAGATCTCCATGGGAGCCCCTTGCAATACAGCTCTGGTCATTCCCGAGGCGGAACGTAGAAGCTTTGACCTCATACAGGTGCCCCACCAGGGGTAAAACACAGAGTGGAAAGGCACGGAAGGGGCCAATTGCGTGAGGACCTCCTTGCTCAAACAACTGCCAGTGTCCACGTTGGCAGGCGGTTTTAGCCTGGGCTTTTGGCGTGGAGGTGACAAGAGTCTCATTTTCTAAGCCTTATTTGGCAGTTAAGTGGGAGTGTACTAAAACAATTGTCAAAGGAAGAGGCACAAGATACACATCTGGGAACATAAGATACTCTTAAGTTATATTCTTTTTGATCCCTAATTCCCTGAGTGCCATTTTTTTCTGAAGGAAAAAAAATGGGGAGAAATCTCTCAAGTTCTGTGAAAAATACAGAAATACTGTAACTCAGTGAGAATAGCTTTAAAAAAACAAAAGACGAATGGCAGAACCCCGGCTCCAAGCTGATGCAATTGGTGAGGCCTCGTCTTCCGCTTATGCGACAGGCATCTGTGTGACGCACCTTGATCCTCAGGTGTATCTGGGCAAAAAAGGACAAGCCTGCCCACTGAGCTAGGGTCCTTGGTCTCCTTATGCCAATGGCACCCACCAGCCCAGCTAATCCTCCCGTTTCTGGCCCCCACTTGAAGAAACATGCCACAGGCTTACATATTCTTTGATCAAGTGCCACAGGGCTGAGCCAGTTCCTGCCCATTAGTCACAAAACAAACCAAACAAGCAAAACCCCACAACTATTCTCCACGAGAAAGAAACGATTAGGAAAGAGGCTTTGAGGATTGATTTGTGTTAAGAAGATTCAGCTTACACGGGATGCAGACTTCTGCCCCACCCCCAGTAAAGGCCCGGTTGGTAGACTGGTCGGGGGTAACCCCCAGAGAAGCCCACCCCTGTGTCCAGGCTCTAGAAGACACCCCTGGGTAGGCATGTCCTGGTCAGACTGCGGTCGTCTCCAAGCTCCAAGCTCCCCCCTCGCCCCGCCCCAGGTGACTTCTCAGCACACGCGTACCCCAACCCGGGCCTTCCTGCCTTCCCGCCCCCCTGATCACGGCACATGCCTCTCCTTGGGGCTGTGCTTTGTGTCAGGCTTGCTGGGGTGCCCCACACTGCCCCCAAGGCCAGAGGGGCCAAGAACCCAGCCTCAGCAGACCCGCGGGAAGGCTGAGCCAGGACGGAGGTGCAAACACCTGGGTCCTTCCCCGACGCTCCCCGCAGGGCGCAGCGGACTAGCGCACCGGTGACGACGGCCACGC